AGATTGGACTGAGAGCCAGGAGACCGGATGTGGAGACCGTGCTACGTCGTTACCATCTCGTTCAACGTCTCCGTTATCTAAAACTATCCACTTGGTTGTATAGACATTTCCTTTCTTCTGAACTGATGTAAAAATTCATCACAAAAGTGTGGACGAGTTATACATGTTTGAAAATACAACATTTTCACAATAGATTTTGGACTTATGGGTTTCCTTTTTGGGATAGTAATGTTTTTTCTTCATTTTTTTATAACAAATATAGGGAAATTTGATAAATGACGCTAACTAATTATTTTCTATAATTGATCGGATGTAATGAACCAATCATCGATTATGAGATTTTAACCAATTCTCAACACTAATGCATACCTGAGCACCTTGTGCTGACATCGGAGATGCACAGGCAACCAAAATTTAAGTCCATCAGAATTGAAGTGATGTCGTCTCACTTCCGGGACCTTGTTATCAGTCACGCTGCACTGTTCTGTACTCTCTGAAGACAAAATATGAGAGACTGGTTCAGTCCATACAGGAGAGCGTTTCCGTAGTCCAGACGAGATGTCACAAGGGATTGCAATGTGTAAAGCTCATTTATGGTGTCTCCCAGCGAGATATTGCTGGAATATTGCTAAAAGCGACGTAAAACTAGACTCACTGAGTTAATAAATGTAACAATACGGCTGTATTGCTATCGTAAGTATTGATGTCTATGTACAACAGAACAATGTGTCTGAAGGAATACAATGCAAGCGATTTATAGCTGAACCAGCTGCATGACAGTCCTTCTCTTGTCCGTTTAAAGATCACATATAATCATGGTGTGTGTGTGTGTGTGTGTGTGTGTGTGTGTGTGTGTGTGTGTGTTACAAATACATAAATCACTAATTGGCATCGTTATAAATGAAACCCCGTTCCTAACACAACTCATTTCGATCTTTAATTAACTTAAATCGACCTTTTTGACAACAGTGCACAATTCTCTCCCGCGTACGAAATTTCAACCAATCAGAGGGGCGCGTCTCCGTGACGTCATGTGAGGAATAGATATGAGAGCCGATGTAGAATTCATGTACATTTCAGGGCGTAAAATATCTTGTTTACAGGTTTGTATAAACCTGAAATCGTGACAATTGTTGTGAAAAATGAAAGTTATGTGTTCTCACAATCTACTGTCATTTAATTTTGTCACCTGTTTTGCCTAGCTTCCGAGTTACAACTTGTTTTCATAGACGATTCTGTCAAAATCGCTTGGAGTCGCCCTTATTTGTTCGATCCAGACGCTAATGATGCCCATCGAATGCCGTTATTTAAAATATCCCCTGTAGATCTTGTTTTATTGTAATAAAGTATCAAAGCAGTGTAGGCTTTTTCAGGTTTCCTAATGCCTGGATGGTATAATTAATGACTGATCCAAATTGATCACAATTCTGTGTGTTTTTTTATCTCGATATTTAATCATGTCATCTAAAAGTAGACGTCCATTATGTATGATATTAAAAATAGACATTTGATTTATTTGAATCAGTAAACTAAACAACCCCACTTTGCCATTGCTAGAAGAATCTGAAAATTGACTTCGGTAAATACTGACTGACTGACTGACTGACTGACTGAATTTGGTTTTACGCCGCTTTTAGCAATATTCCAGCAACATCACGGCGGGGGGGACCAGCAATGAGCTTCACAAATTGTACCCATGTGGGGATTCGAACCCGGGTCCTCGGCGTGACGAGCCAACGCTTTAACCACTGGGCTACTCCACCGCCCCACTTCGGTAAATAGGTACATACAGTTTAACACACAGCAAATGCTTATGTGTATTTCTTTTGCAACAATGAAGTTCTGTTCCTATTCTCAAAATAGTGTCGGCCCATAAGTTTTCACATGCAATTAAAATTGCATGCAATACAGCAATTAATACTCCCTTGTTGTAACCTGTGTTATGTGGTATAAACCTACAAATGTTATTTGTCATCATTCACTTGATGGTCAGTTAATGAATTTACAACAGTTATAATTAGTGGTAACACCACTTAGATTACCCGACAAAGGTTCCCAGAAGAATTATCAGCCGAGTTACAAAATCAAACATCGATCAAAGGATTAACCGATAACACGCTGATTGATTAATTATGTTTATGTTGCACAGTGGATTTGTTATAAGGTAGTGTTTATATCTATGTAGATCTACTAATCTATACTGAATACACTCTGTCGTAAAGTGTCTGTGTAAAAACAACGTCCTTCTTTCAAAGGATTAAGCGCCAATGCATTGATTGATTGCTCATTATTGGCTAACTAAATTAGATTCTATTGTTTGTTCATAGACTTTACCAAAGCTTTTGACTGCATTAATCAGCAAATATTGTTTAAGAGTCTTGTGAGCATTGGTGTGAACGGGAAATTTATGAAATTTATAATCAAGATGTACTCATCATTATGTGCTTGTGTCAGAACTGATACTGGATTATCATCTTATTTCAACTGTTATGTTGGCACAAGGCAAAGATGTATTTTATGTCCTCAAACTTTCATTATTTTTATAAATCAGCTATCACAAATGCTGGAGATTTATGGTGGAAGAGGTATTTTCATATCTTCACAAGCCAAGGATGTTTATTCTCTCCTATTTGCTGATGATGTCTCATCTGTATCTGACAGTGCTATGCAGCTCCAAAGGAAAATTTATTTTGTTGAAAGGTTTTGTGCAGAGACTGGAATGAAGGTGAACCTGAAAAAGACTAAAATAATGGTATTTCGCAATGGAGGTCCGCTCAGGGATTATGAGAAGTGGTTTTTAAATGGAATACAAATTGAGGTTGTTAATATGTATAGATACTTAGGTATTATGTTTACTCCAAGATTATCATGGACAAAAGCGAAAACTTGTTTATCGTCTCACGCGAGGAAGGCCATATTTTCTATCAACAATTATCCAAAACGTTTTGGATATATTAACCATCATAAATTGTTTAAGATATTTGACTCTATGAATGCACCAATACTCTGTTACGGATCTGAAATATGGGGAACAAGCTACTGTAAAGTTATTGAAACTGTGCACACCAGATTTTGCAAGTCATTTCTTAAAGTTAGTAAACTACCAACAACAACATGGTTCTGGGAGAGTGTGGAGAGCTCCCTCCAGTATCAATATATCTCAAGAGCAGTCAAGTACTGGTGCAGACTGATACAGCTTCCACGAAACAGACTTCCTTATCAGGCATATGTAATGATGAAAACTCTCGATGATAATGGTAAAAGATGGGCTTCTCATATTAGGCTGATATTATTCCAATATGGATTTGGTTTCTTATGGATATCTCAAGACATAGGCTGTATATCCATATTCATGGTAATTTTTAAACAGAGATTCAATGACTGCTTCACTCAATACTGGCATGCATCACTATTTTCGTCACCCAAATGTTAATACTATTCACAATTTAAATCATCTCTAAGCGTCGAAACCATATTTAACCAGTGAATTGCTACGAAATCAACGTAAAATCATAACTCAGTTTCGGTGCTGTAACTTCACACTCGCAGTGGAATGTGGCCGTCATACAAACACCCCGTATAATGAACGTCTCTGCCTTTTTTGTCATGCTGCTGGCCTTGATTACATCGAAGATGAACTTCATATTTTATTAATATGTCCAAAATATTCCCAACAAAGATCTGATTGTTTTTCAATACAACTGACTCAACCACCGATTCCTTCATCCGATTGTTGCCACCGACAATATACTGACCTTCTAAATTTGGATTGCCGCTTTTAGCAATATTCCAGCAACATCACGGCGGGGACACCAGAAATGGGCTTCACACATTTTAAAAATCATTGAGTAAATATCTTCACGTGAGTTCGCCGCTTGAACCAATGAATAACCGCCCCTCGGAAAATACAAATCAATACTAAACTTTACTTAGCTTTACTCAGTATGTATTTACTTTTGCCAAATGTATGTATTATGGGCCTTGGGCCTAAATTACCGAATAAACCTGTCTGTCTGTCTGTCTAAATTACTTTTTTTAAGGAATGGCGGACACTATGCAATTAGTTGCCAGCTGTGCAATCTTGGGTGACCAATGAGACTATACACCAATGTGAAAAACCTGAAACGATGTATCACTTTTTCGCATATTAAACTGTTAAAAGACACATCACTTGGAACAGCTGCAGAGGAATGGCATATCACTCGTTTATGTGCATATTGATGGATACATTCCTCGAACAAGGTAATAGCCTGACATTGTTCCTATAACTTTAATCTGTTTTAATTTTAATATTTGCATTTTGTTTTTATTCATTTGTCGTAGCATGCAACAGAATCAATGTTTTCGCCGTGAAGTGTAATGAGACAGACAACATACACTAGGGCGTGTGCGGCGGCCTGTCCCGAACATCCGATTCAAACTATCAAAAATGTGTAGATATTACATTGTCCTGTTATAAATTCCCTACAATGTATAAGTATCAGCAGATCGCCTCTGGGAGTAATTGACGGAAACGCAACGATCGGCATGTCTTGGTTGGCGTCAAGAAATCAGCCAAATGACGAGCTTGTTGCACATTTTATAAACAACTAACGGAAAATCCTTCCTCAAATGACGTCACTTCCTGTTCGCTGCAGTGCTCTGGCGACAGAGTTACGTTACCTCTTTGTGGTTTCGTTAGCGGGCAAGAGTGAAGCAGGCGACTTTTTGGCAAATTTTAATCGCTTGGTATTAATTAACCACAGGTTTTTAAGAACAAATGTGGTGTTCCGCTTAAGACTAACCTCACGTCTTTCATATGTAATGGTTAAAAGAGTACAAAAAACAAAAGTTTATTTGTTCTTTAAAGACCAGTGCCAGACAAATCACCATTAGTACCATTAGTTGATGTTTTCTCATCATCAACCCCCCTCTCTCCAGGCAGAAGGACTTATGCAGACCAAAATGTTAATTTCTATAACATCATGTTATATTCTCGATATATCATTTGTTTAACACAGGTGTGTATCTTTGACATCCATGCTGACAGAGGTGCTGAGATAGAGTCTTCACTACAGAGTCAGTTTGGAGGAGACAAAGTGTCCTTCTCGCTGTGCGATGTAACTGACGAACAAGGTTTTAAAGGTATGGAGTGAAATGTTACTTATTCACATTATTTGCTTTGGCAATGAAATAAAGTGTAAGAATTAACGCATTGTGAAACATTTCTATCGTTGTTTCCGCTAAACCATAAATGTGCATGAATTATGAAATAACGTTCATGCAAAGGATGGTTGTTGCAGAACTGGCAAGTCCTAAACACGATTGTAAGAATTTATACTGATGCTTGGTATTTGCTTGCTGACTCGTGACCATAATATCTGTCTCTAACATTATCCCCAAAAGGGAATAATGAATGTTATAGATAATGTTTCTGCTTTGACATGACAGAGTCTTGAAGAGGTGTTGTTCCGTGTGTAGCAACAGTAGTGTTCGATCAGTTTTACTGTCTTTAAAAAACAATAATGAACCCGTCTCAATGCATGTCCTTCTTGGTTTCTCAGAGGCCTTCGATGGTGTCGTGGCACGCCATGGACAGGTGGATGTCATGATCAATAATGCAGGTATCCTCAGCAAGAAGATAGACATTGACAAGATGCTGATGGTTAACCTGGTAAGAGAACATGATTCAATATGACCTGTATATGATGGTCAACTGTATTTGTTCAGGTGATCCTGGCACAGTCAGGCTGGTATGACTCGTCATCAGCTCAGAGACCTTGGCCCTTTTACACGCACCCCAGACAGCGAATGGGTTTTCTCCCGGAAGTGCTGCCTAGTCGAACCCACCAAGAAGTTTCCAGAGAATATGAAGTCTCCCCATCACTGCAGCCTTCTGCATTACCCAGAGTGTCAGCAGGGCTGAGAAGCCACTATCCTGATCTGCGCCAAGAGATCAGGGTCTCCTTTCACGAAGCAACCTTTACTGAGGTTAATCTTAACTCCCATTAACATTGCACTAAGGTTACCTTAGTGACTTAAGATCACCTTAGTCCTTTGTGAAAGCAGGCCCAGCAGGTACCATACAGATTTAAATACAACTGTAGAAAGGCTTTCGTACATGTAATTGAAACACATGAAAATGTCTTCGCAGGGTGGCACCATAAGAGGTTCGAACCTCGCCATCAAGCACATGAGGAAGGATGAAGTTGGGGAAGGTGGAGTGGTCGTCAACGTGTCCTCCATTGCAGGTAGGTGGTGTTGCCTCCGTGATCGAGATAAATAAGTACCAGTAAGATGATAAAGAACCACTGTATACTCACGTCTCCTATTCTCGCGGGTTTCCTATTCTCTCGGTAAACACGTTTTCTGCCGAAATCGCTGATACGCGACACCTAGCGGTTGTTTACCTTGCCGACCGGTAACTAGGAAGTGGCCCAAGTCTGCGAGTGATCAAAATCTTGCAATGTCACGAATATTGGTGAGTTTAAAAGAAAAGAACCATAACACCTTGTTTGTTATATGCCAGGGGTCAATGATATTTACTCTGTCACGATGTTGCATCTCTATCTAGTTAAAAACTCATACAAAAATATTCAGTCTCCAGCAAAAACATCGTCTGCTACATTACGACCTATTGACACATAGAAATCACATGATTGTCACATGACTTCATTTTCGCGGGCTGTGAAAAGTATGGAAACATTTAAAGGCCATATAATGGAAGTGGGCGCAATCACCGTTGTTAGGCTTTTGTAAGCTAGATATATGTGTCGTTTACATAAAATTGAATAGTTTTCTAAAGAGTAATTGATCAAAAGAATATGATATGATATGAATTTCATAATAAAGGGTAAATTTGTGGGAACAAAGTAATAGAAAAGTGACTTCATAAAAAAACAATTGTTTATGTCACGACTTCTACATTCATTACGTTTTAACATAGAATTTATGTTGATACAACAAATACAAATGCATATATCGATATCAAAAGGGATTTTGTATTTGTCTTTTAGGGAGCAAAGGGTCCCGGTAGGGTAAAGAAGCCATATGATAAAGACAATCTTCTAAAAGCGTACGAGGCTACCACTACAGGAATGTCAGTCTATAGAGCTTCACGTGTCTATGACGTCCCCGAGTAAACATTGAGGGATCGAACACGATGTAATGTGGCTCTGGACGGGACACCTGGACCTGATAGACTCTTAACAACTACAGAAGAGGAATCTCTGGTTAACCATGTGAAATACATGGCGGACATTGGATATGGTTACTCTAAGAGCAACATCCAATATCTTGCAGCCGACTATGTCAAGTCAGTTGGCAAATATGTTCAGGCTAGCCATTCCTTAAGTAACAAGTGGTTCTATGGCTTCTTGAAACGTTGGCCAGATCTGAAGTTAGCCAAACCACAGAAACTGCATTTAGCCAGGGCAAAGGGTGCTTCAAAACAAGTAATAGATAAGTACTTCCGTGAGCTAAAAGCTATTATGACGAGGCATAGCTTCAACAGTTTGCCTGAGCGCATCTTTAACATCGACGAAACTGGTGTGAGCACAGAACACACTCCATCTAAGGTTGTCTGTGGAAAAGATTCCAACCCCCAAGCCATCACATCACCTAGATCGGCAAATGTCACCATCATAGCCGGAGCGAACGCGCTAGGAAATTATGTTCCTCCTTTTTACGTTTTCCCAGGTAAACGTTGGTCAGACGATCTCTTGACAGGTGCGCCAGTCGGATCCACCGGGAAGATGTCGCAAACTGGTTGGTCGAATTCAGCCATTTTTGAGACCTATGTGATGGATCATCCTACACTGATCCTTTATGACGGTCACAAATCACATATATCTCTGACGCTAACCGACTGGGCAAGGAAAAGAAACGTCGTTCTTTTTTGTTCTTCCACCACACACAAGCCATTTGACTCAACCTCTTGATGTTGGAGTATTCGCTCCTTTCAAGAATCACTATTACAGGGAATGTCAAACATACCTTCACAACAACCCTGGGGTATCTATCACAAGATATGAAGTCGCAGCTTTGTCAGCGCAGCCATATATTAAAGCGCTATGTCCAGCCAACATCACCAACGCGTTTCGGAAGTCGGGAATCTTCCCGATTGATCGAGTTGTCATAGGTGAAGCACTGACAGCACCAGCGATTATTTATCCCACTGATGTCTTCACAGAAAATCCGGACACGTCTACTACAGCTGTTAAAACAACATCGTCTGTGGTCGTCCCTCCGACTTCCGCTGGCACCGGTGATATAATTGGCAGTGTCAACGCTCCACCCGTGACAGTGTGCGAATCACGGTTGTCGACTGATACTTCTACTCTTGCTGGCGATTTTCTCGAAACGAGGAAAATTAAAACAGTTGTCTAGAAGAAATCCAGGAGGAAGTTTGTTCGACCATACAAGTCCGTCACTGGCAATCTCATGAAGAAGGCAAACACTGACATCTTGAGGAGCAACGCAGAGAAGCAAAAATCTAAACACTTCTCTTCATCTGCATGTAAAAAAGCGAAAGTTTTAGACAGTAATCACAATATGTCATCACGCAAGGGGGAAGTTGTGCGACCTTCTACATCAGGGTTGTGTGTCAACAATGGTGCCATCCCCGTATCTTCGCCGGAAATCAGTGACGACAGTGACGCGTCATCACTCGCAGAGGAAGAAAAATGCTGTGCGTGAAACAAGTTTCAACCTCAGGAACTTCGTAGATGTCCCCAAATTGTCTTTGTGAAGTGGGGAAAATGCGACTTTTGTCCCCATTGCACTCATCTAGTCTACTGCTCGGAAATTCGAGTTTTAAGACGTCACAGCATATTCCGATGCCCTCACTGTTTATGTGAAGAATGATTGACAAACTTGACTTTTCATGTAAATATTTTCACTTTGATGACTTCTTCTTTGGAATTTATCGTTTTCAAGTTATCTTGCCTTATAATACCGACTTGGACATATCAGATCTTTCACCCGTGCTTTCCGACAGGATTTCTCTTCCATACACTCCACAACGTGACTTCTTAGTTATACCGCGAGAATGGGAGAAGCCTCATTTTGTCAATGGCGGATGGCATTGTTTATCACCGGGCTCACGAGTGGTGATTTACCTGATGGATCTAGCATCTGATAGATGTAGATGTTAGAGGAGAAGGCCCATAATTTAAAAACAACAAGCATTCATACGGTAAGAATTGTTTGTGTTATTTTTTCAGCCGATATCCGTAAGTACCGCGAGAATAGGAAACGCCTTCCTACGTTTTTCTAGGTTTAGAGCCGATCTTCACTGTCCCAGCTTATACAGCAACGAAGACCGGGGTAGTTGGATTCACAAGATCCTGGGCAGTGAGTATAGCCGTTAAACATTATTCAGAACCGCTTTCAAAATATCAAATAGCTGATTTACATAAAGTGTTTACATTTTTTCGATCCTAAAATAAATGAACAATATTAATACTTTCTGCTCATTTCTTCATAAATACAAAACATGCTGGAAACGAAATCAGTGACATATTTCAGTGCAATCCACACACAATTATCAGCAAATCAGAAAAACAGAAATTAGTTAGTGGTCTCGCATAACTGTTTGTAGACTGACGTTTCTTTTGCTGTTTAGTATATTTGTAGACTCTGGGGAACATAAACATGATTGGTTAGCTAACCATTATCTTAATGAATCACTAAGGATGTGTTTATTGGATAATGTACCGTCATGTGGTGATGTCCAAACAAGCAACACGAAAAACACACAGTTTCAAGCATGCTATCCTTAACGGCACATTGGACAACAGGAAACTGAGAAGGGACCACCTATCGAATTGGTGCATTGTGAGAACGTTAATTTTTCCAGGCAAATCCCTATCTGAAAGAAATGGGCTTGAGATTCTGCTTGGTGTGCCCCACAGCATTCACATCGTTTATAATTCCTGATCCAATGACACAAGCGTTCTATGGTGAGGACGCGATGAAGTCTATGGAAAAAAATTGCCACGAAGGGTAAGTATCCTCAGTACTTGACATAAACATGCTTGTCAGAAGCTGCTGGAATGTTGAAGGAACATGTACTTATACATTTAAATTAGATTCAGCTTGCAATGAGTTTCTAAATGCCAGAAGTGTTAGAAACATGACACGCAAAAGAGGTTCTGTAGAACGTGCAGACTTGTTATTTGATTGTGATTCCGTCGTTTTATGTTCGTTTGGTTTGGTTTTTGTTTCTTGTTTACTCTACAGAGATGACCAAACATCCATTGAGAAGCTCTCTGGACACACCACTGTCATCTGCAAGAACCCCAATTTACAAGGTTCACGACTCGTGTTTCAAGGGCAGACAATTTAATGCTAGTTCCTGCAAAAAAGTTGCTTTCAGTGAACTATCTCAGAAAACTGTCGTCGGATTGTTTCCGTCTGCCCATCAGTTTCGATTAAATGGCATCGTAAGGCATTACTGTAAACGTTTTGACATCAGTGTCGAGTGTCAGTTGACGCAAAAGTTATTCCATATATTGTTATTGGATAATATATGTCAAAGATTTTGAGGTATATCTTTTTCTGAAATCCTTCCCATTTTACAGAGATACAAGTCTTTGTACATCATATGGTAGACCGCCTCTGTGGGATAGTGGTCAGAGCGTCCAGCCGACGAGCGGAAGGTCGCAGGTTCGATCCCGGCCGCGTCATACCAAAAGACGTTAAAATATTTTACTTGTTGGTCCCTGCCTGGCGCTCGGCATTAATGGGCACAACAAGGACTGGTCGGCTCGGAGTCGATATAAAGTGTCTGAATGGGTATTCATACCTTACTGCGGCATGGCATGAGGGGCGATCAAAACGTGTGTAGAATCACCAAGAAAACGGTACAAATACAGTTATGTTTATGGTTTATTTTTCTACATATTATTTGTCAAGCTCAAGCAATTTAGTTTTGCTATGTTCCAGTCTCACGACCACCATTTTGTTTGACCTTTATCTTGGTACCACCAAAACGCAAAAACTACAATAAATGCATCAACAACTTCTGGAAACAAACTATGCAAGAGATATTTTGTGTGTTTGAGATTGATAGACGTCCCCTAGAATCACACTTAGATATTAAATTTAATAAAAAAGCAATTTGAAATTATAATCGCTTGTTAAAGTGACTCCCCCCTTCAAGTTGACTGAAACAGCTTGTCTTGAAGACACTACCCATCCGACTTTCAGATGACGTAATCATAAGGGCATAGCTTATTCTTATGTTTTCTCTATGCATACATGATGCCAAGGGTTCAAACTAAATACAGAATGGTCACACAAGTGTCAGCTGACAATATATTGTATACAGTGCCAGCTTGAATATCTGGACACAATGTTTTTGAAAGATTAAAATGGGGGTGTCCTTAAAAATAGCCCCCGACTAAATATAAATCAAGCAATCCAAATCTTTGACTGTTGATCATCACAGGAAGTCATCCAATACTATACTGAACATATTTAATATGACATTATCTGAGGGCATATCATTATCCAAGAGGTACCAAAAGACAAATCGTTTTTCATTTTCTACAATTTTGTTAGAAATATTATACCCCAATGTGATGTGATGACAAATATCTGGTTAACCACATTACCCACACATGTGTCCTTCAAAATAAAATGGAAGCTTTTCAAACATTGGACATCGAGAATATAGTTAGGCTACGTACTTTTTTGATCGACCCTCCTGTCTCAGTGACAGACAGACACATAACACGCATGCACGTCGTCATATAAACAAAATAGTCGTAAGCGCGACATTAAACCCCATTTCGCCTAACCTCATACATATGCATGTAATATATACATGATATTTCATATGGTTACGCCTTGTATACTAGCGAGGGGGAGAGGAACTGTTGTGGTGTAAATGTAACAGTAAATGACGTAAATGTTTGACCTTAGATGATAAAACAGGATAGAGGGGCGGTGCAAGTTAGTTAAATTAACAATGTCAACATCTGGTGGCACGACCATTTCAGTTAATTTTGAGAAGCCGAGGCGGGGCACTGAAGACACCATATGATTTAAAGGATGGTCCAGTTTAGATATCAAAATAAGATAGCGGTACCGGCTGGTTCTGGTCTTACTCGGTTCAACTCATCCCAGACTTGTTCTGTGTGGACGAGGTCTAGGGAAACAGCCAGCCATGTCAGACAAACGAGATGTAGCACATTGGCTCATAGCTTGTGTTTCAGATAAACTGATGTGAGACCAAGCGGACGTCTGTGTCATCCTTAATTTGAAGCAGGAAGAGTTCTTGGTCGCCGTTTGAAGATTGATAAATTGATTTGTGTAAACTGATATCAACGATTTTGGGTAATATTGATGCCTCATATTTTTCAGTCCAAAAGACATAGCTGCTTCAGTTATTGATCTGCTGGAGGAGGATGACAGTAACGGCACCATAATTCACACGCGTTCCAAAGGACAGAATCGCAGAGTGAAGATAGAGGTGACTGATGAATCAACTTAAGGAGTCACTCTCAAAGACACTGCCAAACAGTTGGTCATTAGAGAGGTTCTGACATCGATTGGCGTGAAATTCTGCACAGCAAAAGGTTATGTTCATTTTTTAATTAAAAACTATGCTGAATCAATATCACATACTTATTGATTTTTCAAGTAAACGTTATGCTGTGAATAAGTGTAACATCAGGCCAAACACATATTCTACAGCAGGCTTAATTTGTAAGGTATTCTAAATGTCGAAGTCAATTTATCCTTGACTTCATTTGTACATTCATGCCGTACAGCAATCATAAATATAAAATCATTTATATAAAAGGTATTCTAAATGTGGAAATCAATTTACCCTTGACTGCATTTGTACATTGGTGGTGTACAGAAGTTATAAACTGGTATCTTTCCAGTCGTGTGTTAATTTTGCATGAATCGTTGCAAAATAAAAATCAAATATTTCATCGAAGAGCTTGTTCTGTAGGCTAATAACTTTCCTCGAGGTGATTCTCAGGTTGTGTCTCAAGAAGACTTTTGATGCTATATGACTGGATTGTCTGGTCATGACTTGATTATTAACAGACAGTCGTCATGCGGGTGGAATACCGCTTTTCAAGTATTGAACATCCAAGAAAGAAACAATGTATTCTTTCATCAGTAAATGTAAAACTTCTCAGATGTTTGTTCTTCAACACTCGTTTGTACAACCTGCAACATGCGCTGTTTGCTATTGCCAGTGTATTGTTGATCTCGAGTTTGGCATCTGATGTGATGGTGCAGGTTGGTGGAAGACCTCTGTCATTTTTAACCCAGTCCAAACAGCTGGGCATCTTCTGCGAAGCAAGCTGTAATGTTCTGCAGGGTCACCTTGTTCTGTAAGAGCAGCAACATCAACGAAAGAGGAGGTCGCGAATCAGTTCCTCGGCGTCTTTGAATGAGCATGAAGACGTCTAACATTGAACAGGCTGTCATTGAAACGATATTCAAAATTAGACACTGTCGTCAAGATCTTCAGTGGCCTGCTTGAGCATCATCCTGAAAAAGATGGTGGAGAAGATCTATGTCAGGACACACTCCTGTTTCACTTTGACTTTGAGAGTTTGATACCATACCTGATCTGGCCGTGCTGTTCTTCATGTCGTTGGATGACAAAATTTAGAACTACACAGTGTCAAAGGCTTTGGTAAGGTCGACAAACATTGTGTATAGACCTTTGGTTTGTTCTCTTCACTTCTCCTAAAGCAGTCTGATGATAAACGCCATGTCAGTTGTGTCTCTGTTGTCCAATTTTAGCCATGAAGTAAAGGAACACATATTCACATATTCAACGATTGCAAACATAGTACGAAAAAACCTAGTTTGCATGACGTGGTCTTATGTACCGCCCCAAGTGGACATACATTTTACACTACCTTTCATCCTGACCTCAGTCACCCTGCACCCCTGGCCCTACCCATCCAACATCACCAGCCCCACACCTACGGAGTGACCTTTATCACCTAGACCCCTGGTCAACCAAAGTGAATCATAACACCCAGACCCATTGTCAACCAAAGTGAATCATAGCACCTCGACACCTGGTCTACCAAAGTGAATCATAGCACCTAGACCCCTGGCCAACCAAAGTGAACCATAGGACCTAGACCCCCGGTCAACCAATGTGAATCATAGCAACTTGAACCCTGGTCTACCAAAGTGAATCATAGAACCTAGACCCCTAGTCTACCCAAATTGAATCATAGCACCTACATCCCTGGTCAACCAGAGTGAATCGGCACCTAGACCCCTGGTCTACCCAAAGTGAATCATAGCACCTAGACCCCTGGTCTACCCAAAGTGAATCATAGCACCTAGACCCCCGGCCAACCAAAGTGAATCATAGGACCTAGACCCCCGGTCAACCAATGTGAATCATGGCAACTTGACCACTGGTCAACAAAAGTGAATCATAGCACCTTGACCCCTGGTCAGCCAAAGTGAATCATAGCACCTAGACCCCTGGTCAACCAAAGTGAATCATAGCACCTAGACCACTGGTCAACAAAAGTGAATCATAGCACCTTGACCACTGGTCAGCCAAAGTGAATCATAGCACCTAGACCCCTGGTCAACCAAAGTGAATCATAGCACCTAGACCCCTGGTCAACCAAAGTGAATCAGCACCTACGCCCCTGGTCAACCAAGGCACCCGTGAAGAGCCACCTCCTCGTGGTGGGTGGTGGGTAAAGCTAAGAGTTCTTCGACCCCCCGTTGTGGACCCGGGGGTATATTTGGTCCACCAACCCGTTTGCCGTGGGTTGCGCCGATGTGTCGGTGGAGGAAGGGATTCTGGTGGTTGAGGGCACTGGTTCCAGGAACAGTGTTCCTTTGCCCAACACACCACTTCGGCCCTGACTTCACCTAGACGGGTGGTTGAATGGGCTCGGTTCAACCAATCGGCTGGTCATGCCAAGCCCTGTGTATGTATATTGTGATGCACACACACATACAACAGAAGATTGTGAGAGTACCTTTAAGAAATGTACCCACTGCGCAGGCACTCACTCATCATTTTCCAAAGATTGTCCAATCTGGAAACAGCATATGGAGATCAATAAGATCAAATTTACTCAAAACATCAGTTTCTCTGATGCAAAAAAGCTTGTCTTAAGATCTGAGATCAAGGAAACTTATGCGTCCATAGCAAAAACGTCGTCTGATATAACTCCTACAGTAACCAAGTCCTCTGCAAGCTGTCAGACGAACTTGACATGGCTCAAAACCGAGTCTCCTGAAATTGTATCACTGCAATGTGTACACAAACTGTGGAACCACTAAGTCTTCCTGGCTCCTGGAATTGTTTTGCTGTCACTGCTATGGAAGCCAGCATTTAAACATTTTCCATTCGTACCGTTTATAGAACATAACTGGAAAATGCCAAGAAATTCAAAAAAGCACTCAACTGACTCCAGTGTCACATTAGTATATAGAAAGTTCATCCGTCCGGACAAACAAAAGAAACTATGTTAAAACAATGCGAAAACAATGCAGTAATAAGCTCAAACAAAAGCCCACATCCCACATAAAAAATCCAACATTTTATGCAAGAATGAGCAAAAAAAAAGCAACAAATGACCAGAAATCCGACATCCCACATTCCATCACACATCCCACATTCCATCACACATCACACATCACACATTCCATCCCACATCCCACATCCCACATTCCATCACACATCACGCATCCCACATTCCATCACACATCCCACATCCCACATTCCATCACATCCATCATCCCACATTCCATCCCACATTCATCCATCACATTCCATCCCACATCCATCACATCATTCCATCCATCACATCCCACAATCCATCACATCCACACATTCCATTCCATCCCACATCACACATCCCACATTCCATCCCACATCCCACATCCCACATTCCATCCCACATTCCACAATCCACACATCACACATCCCACATTCCATCCCACATCACACATCCCACATTCCATCACACATTCCACAATCCATCCCACATCACACATCCCACATTCCAGCCCACATTCCATCCCACATCACACATCCCACATTCCATCCCACATCACACATCCCACATTCCATCCCACATCACACATCCCACATTCCATCCCACATCACACATCCCACATTCCATCCCACATTCCAACCCACATCCCAAATCCGACACTAAATTTAGTCACACAATACAGTAATTACTTGCTAGAATGAGCAAAACACGAAGCACAATACAATAATTAACTAATAATCTCACATTTATTGCTAGAATGAGCAAAAACAAAGCAGTAAATGAACAAAAATGACACATTTTATCTCACATCGCACATTCCATCTCACACCCCACCTCCGATACCGAAAAAGAGACAAAAACAGTACAGTAATAAGCTAACAATCCCACATCTCATATCAAAAAAAAATTCACATTCGTTATGCTTAATGATACACAATGACTCCTGAGTGAAGAACCTTAACGATAGGTAAATCATGTGCTTTGAAATTACTATCACGCTTCACAACACACAGTGACACATAAATTATACCCTATCGACACTGGCTCTGAACAAGCCATACATTAGACACGTCTTCAGATTCGTTGATGCAGATACATTTCTTAAGTGGTCATGAGGCATAGACTTTCAAGTGGTGTCAACAGATGTCAACCGCATGAGAAGAAAAACTTCAATGACAAGTTTACGAAAGCTGATGATATGTCTTGATCTTGTGGTCGCGATGGTAAATGCAACCTTTATTGATGTCTACAGTCGTCTGATGCACAAGTCCAAGCAGAACGGACACTTTTCATCAATGATAATAAAATAAAACGTGAACCAGTGTGGGTTGAGGTTACACACCACCAAATGTTTTCCCATAGACTTCTATAGTAACCTTATAATTTTTTAAAATAGACAGGCTATCAACAGCCATTCCATGTACACATGGGTACACTCTGGGCTTTAAACTACCATAAAACACAATATCTGGCCAACTTGTCCGGCTCGTTTTGCGAGCACAGGAAGCGGAACACATCAACCCCAGTTCCGCACCAAATGTCACCTACTGGAAAATATCTGTACACACAATAAGCATAAGTGATGGTGATAAAAATGACAGCACTAAATACTTAAAATTGTGGTCAGTTTTAATTACTGGTTGGATGTGCTTTTAAAAAACAAACATCTTACACTATTTCATCCAATCACAGCTGTCACATGTCTCTGTCTCTCTTGACTTGTTTACATACGGACCGGCTCAGTGAGCAAGCGATACTGATTTAGTGTAGTGGAACCTTGAGTTCAAGAGAAGTGCTGATAATTTGTTACCAAATTCCTGTACAAATATCTTTTTTTTCAAACATGTAAAGGATGAAGCATTAAATTTTAATGAATCCGAAAATGTTATCACTTTGATTTGCACTTCGTTGAACCAGAGATGCAACAAGACGAACCGTGACTTGCAGTTCTTTGAACCAGAGATGAACCAAGATGACTGCT